CAGGTGAATGAGTGATGCACAGTGAGAAAATGATTGGGTAAAGGTTTAAAATTTGCAAATTTGAATTTGAAAATTTGAAGAGATGTAGTTTTGAGAAACATTCCTGGAGGATTTTATCCAAACTAAATTGCTGATAAAAATTAATTCATTTTTAACTTCAGTCTTTATATTTTCAAATTATTATTACTATGATATTTTAGAGATATTTGTTGTTGCAGTTTCATGAATAGATACAGAATCTTATCAAAAAATGTTTAAGCATTGTTTTTATAGGGTTAAGACACTACATTGTTGCTTTAATTTATTAGAATAATTGCAAAAATGAAGTAAAATTCCATACAAAGCCAAAAAAAATTTGGAAATATATGTAAATATTGCCAAGACTGATGGTAAGAAAGGACAACTAAGGATTAATAATTCAAAACTACAAAAGAAAGCTTTTGTCATTATATATTATTTACTTAAAAACACAGCAAAAAAAGCATATATGAAAGTATCCCATATATATAGTTCGTTCTTTTCTGAACTCAAGTTAAACCTTCAATGAATCAAAGCAATACAATAGTCATATAACACTTATATAGTTATATACCATATGTAATTAATAGCCCATTTGAATGAATGTATTACAAACTTTATGCACGTTTTCCTATCTCGATTTAAATCTTAATGCAGCTTAAAAATGCCAAATGTTGTCTCAGTGAAGATACTGGTCTTAAACTGTTACGACGTAAGTGAGCTTGACTTATTCGACATTAAATATTTCACGAATGACACACGCTAAATATTTGCGGTGAATTTATTCCGAGTAAATGATTGAAAAAGCTACAAATTTTCAACAAATAAGTGACTGAATTAAAGTGATTTTTAACGAGTATCGAGCGCGTAAACTGTCAACAAAAGTCTGGCTGAGAACTAGGTGGAATAAAAATGATTAATTAAACACTGGCTAATGGGATTTCTAAGCTGACCCGATTTGCGCTAATGGATCTGGCCCACAAATAGCCAAATCCAATTGGGCAATGACTGAACCGGGTTAGAGTCACAACCAGAAGTGAGTTAACCGCCGAGCTGGCAGAAATGCGAGCAAGAATTCCGCTGACTCTAGTCGCTCTCGTCCGACTGTGACCCCAAAAAGCCAAGCTAATGTCATGCCGATGCCGATGCCGAATATTCGTCATGGCTGCATAGCCCCCACTCCGGAGCCACCCCGTATCCACTGTGGATACCACCGCCAAGCCACCAAGCCACCAAGCCACCAAGCGGTGGTCCCATTGCGGGGCTTTCGGCCAGCGGATCGGCTTTCGGTTTTCAGCGCTCTTTGTGGTTGGAAAACTCAGGCAAGGTCAGTTTTATTAATTGGCCAAACGGAATACGAAACTTTGCCTCAGTTTCGGGCATCTTTACAGGCAATTAACGCTGAGCAGAAACCAAAACACAAACCGAGCCAAAGTCGAAACAAAACACTTTCCTGTATTGCAACAGACTTGTGAAAGTGGCCAACAATTGTGGGTAAAATTTGCATGCGAATGCCCGTCCCACTACGCCGCTCCCCATTCTGCACCACACACACCACACACGTGTGCCAGGCGGCGGCTAATTGACATAAATTCCATGTCAAAGCAAACGAAAAGCCACAAAAAAGGCAATTTTTCCCCTGCGTTTGTCGTTGCATGAATAAAAATGCGCAAGACAAACGAAGTTGGCCAAATTCCCGAACACACCCAAGAAACCAACTGGGTCTTTGGCGCCATCCGCACACTTGAAAAATATTTGTTATCTTTTCACTTAAAGATCAAATTAAACCAATGTTCTGTACAATAATCGCTGAGAGATTTGTTAATTTTTCTGTAATGCCTTATAAGTATTATTTTCCTGAGACTTTTTCCTAAAAACTAGAGTTTTTCCAAGTGCCAAGTTGGGCTAAATAAGTGACACGGATCTGAGGACCAATTTATTCGGCTCACGTTGACTGGCTGCCACTGCTGAGTATCCATGTCAACGGAGGTCTCAGCCATCTCATCTCCGTCTCGGTCGCCGAGTATTCTGATTCTATGTCAGGCCCAAGACTGAGCCTCCTCCGTTGTCTGTGAACTTCAAGTGAAATGAAGTGAAGTTCTTCTTCTTTTTACGGCCATAAAAGTCACGAAGTGTGTGTAGCGGATACTTTCTTCGCCTAATTATGCAGCTGTACTGCTTCTGCTGCTGCTGTGTTAATTTAATTACAATAAAAAGTAAATTAACTTGCCGAGGCCCCGCCGTACCGTATCTATCAATGGCCACAATTTTCATGGTCGCAGCTTTTAATGGCCCCCGCGGCAGAAGGAGGAGAGTTTACTGGGGAATTTCGAATTTGGAATTTGAATTTCCTGCCCGGCCAGTTTTCACCTAACCAAGGGTCCGTGGCATTCCGCTGACTTCATCCTCCGTCAGTTGTCGGTGATCATTAAATCGCGTGATTCATCCGTCTCGGAATAACCAGCGACTAAGTTCAATTGAAAAGCTATCGAGCACTGGGACTGCGACTCGGGAGACGCGGATCGGATGGCCGAGAGAACAAGAACAAGTTTTGGCCAGCGAGATGCAGCCACACCTAGGAGACCCAACGAAAACCCGCCTAGGCCAAGACAAAGACAAACCAGAGACCAGAGACCAGATACCAGAGACTCCAATCCCGATGAGAGTGCCAAGAGCAAGCTCCAAAACTCACCACAAGCCATAACTGACAATCAATTCAACTTAAGCTGCCTTTTTTCGCCGCGCCTTCGACTTTTGTCTAGACTCCGCGCGTTGCTGTCTTAAGTCTTTTGATTTCTTCCCCTTTTGGTGTTTGTTTTCTTTCCGATTGGAACTGAAATTGTCGAAATTGAATTACGACCGCTCTCGGAGATCTTGTCGCTGCGGTCGGCTTCTAAGCCTTTTTTTGGGCCCAAACAGCAGCCACAAATCATCAGTTAGCCCCGTTAGCAGCTATAATAATACTGTTAACTAATTTACGCCACAAACGGCAGGCAGCAGCAACAACAATGGGGGAAAATCAAGAAAAACAAAAAACACCAAGTCAGTGCGAAGAAGAAGAACCTGAAGAAATCGTTTTGGGGACGTTTTTCAATGAGCTTGGCCATGGCCATGGCTCAAACGACATTCTAACGGTCTCCCGTCAACATGACGGGCTAATTAGGTGCGAGTAATTTGCAAAATAGAAGCCAAACGGAGGCTGGGAATCATCTGCATTGCAAAGGGATGGGTGGAGTGGAGTGACCACCGGGGCGGAGGCAATGATGTGCATCTTTGGCCCTGAGAATGGTGCTAAAGCCCCACGATCCAAGATCCAAGATCCGAGATCCAAGAGATCGCCATCAGGTCGCGGCTCATTTTCGGATGAGAAATCAAGTTTCGCGGCGCAAAAAAACTTTTGAAAGTGATTGTGAGCCAAGATTGGCAGCTGCATCGAAATTGCAAAATGAATGTGAAAGTTGCTTAGCCGCGTGGTTATTCTTTACGAGCCGATATAGGAAGAGTACACTCAGAGACAAAATATCGCGCTGAAGGTAAAAAACAACCTCTTTGACAGACCTGTTTATGGCTTTCTCATCGAGTTCGATGTTAACTAAATTTCATTTCATTTATTCTGTCTTGATATCTTCTTTCAATTTAAATGAAATACAGGTAAAAAGATATATGTAAAAGTAAAGTTTTTAAGCTTTCTCAGATCCTATCTAGTTTAAATGGGACCTAAGATAATCCAGAGATGCTACAGAAGAAACTTTAATAACTCGACATGTGTCAAAGAGACAAGGAAACATTAATTTCTTTTAACCAATAAAGTTATTTTCTTCTTGGTAAATATTGCACCAAATTCCATAAACACTTTTTCTTATACAAGCTGTACAAAACAATAAATTGATGTAGAAGAAGCCTGTAATGATGTTAGTGCTTATGGCACTGTTTTTTCATATCTACGAGGAAATGCCAAGACCAAGACCAAGACCAAGACTTAGACCACGGCGATGCTGGCATCTGCGGGCAGGGCGCACAAAAAGTGATACCCGGAGAGCCAAGAAGCCAGCCGGCCAAACAAACAAACAAACAAACAAACTGGAACTTGTATCTGTGAGATACACACTTGCGACGAAGACAAGGCAAGACGAGAAGACGAGGCAAAGCCAAAGCCAAAGCCAAGCCAGAGTGGGGCTCTTGGCCATGGCTTTGGCTTCCACTTGGGTTCTGGTTTTGCTTTTGGCTCTGGTTTTGTTCTGTTCCGTTCTGTTCTGTTCTGTTCTGTTCTGTTCTTATGGCCTGTGCAGGGCGCAGAACTCGCAATGGAAGCGTTGGAAACGAAATGGTGGAGGCTAAGATACATTTGCTAGACAAAACCCGCTCGCGGGATCTTTGACCTGTGCTGGTGACGACCGCGCGAGCAGAACAGAGAACACAAGAACTCGGGAATTCATGAGTGAGAAGTGGTGGATACTCTGCACTTTTGGATTATACCTTACGCGGTGGAAATAATTGAGAAATCATTCAATTGTTTAGGAATTTCGGAGAAATTTAAGAGAAAATATTTGAAAAATGTATCTAATAATTTTTAAATTGTATTTAATTGATACTATCTAATAAGTAATTGAATTATTTTAAGAGATATGCAATTTGAAAGCCATAAGTTACTCAGAAATGAGTGTTTTCCTGACATTTAGGCCCTAGTAAAGACCTATTTCTATACAAGAAGAGTATTTATGAGTTAACCAACCAATAAAACCTTGGTTTTGATTCAAGAATTGCTCTTTATAATTTTTCTTCGACTGTATACTGCATTTGTATGAGTGCGAGTACTCTTGGAGTATCTTTGAGGTGGCAAGTGCTGGTCTTCGGTCGCTGGGGTTGCCTTAATACAATTAACAGTAAAGACCAGTTGGCCAAACTCTAATTAGCCGCTGGTGGACACGACAGCGACACTCATTCGAGGCTCAGATAGATACTTTTGTATCTGCAACACTTACGTTACAATGTCGATCCGCTGCTGCTGCTGCTGTTACACCGATGTCCGCATATTCCACATAGACACACACTCTATACACGGTACACTCTCCACTCGGCACACACTCACACGTCACTTATTTTCGCTTTTTTTGGCGTTTCTTATGGAACCACTTTTTCGTATCTATCGGCGAGAATCGCAATCCGTTTTGTCAGGCGCGTTGAAAAAATAACAACATTTGCATGCACTTCGATGGGGCCATTAGGGATATATATTCCTCCGCACAAGTAACTATATATATTGCCCGTTTTATGCCGCAAACATTTCAATTAGCCACCGGTTTGCAATGTATATATTTTAGCTGTTTTGTCTATATACGATTTGTTCTCCCTGCTTCTGCTTGGAATGCTTCTGTATGTGGTTCGGGCGCCGTGCGCAGCCAGAAAGGCAAAGATCGGAACCAGCCGCGGGTCGGTGGAGGCAACTCTCTCGGAGCTCGGCTCGAAGCGAACTGAGCTGAACTTGGCCTCGGCCGCCATCTTAGCCCGCTTGGCTCCGTTGGAAGAGAGCTTGCTCGGAGAGCGCGGAGAGTCCGGAGAGCCGATATCCAGGCGGAGAGGGCTTTTCCAATGGGAAGATTGGTAGATACTTTGCTGGTTGTTCAGCAACAGTTTCGGATCAGTTGGAACGGTGCGCTCACTTGGCTTAGACGTGTTCGCGGAGGTTGGTTTAGACATTCTAAGTTCTTGTTCTTGTGATTATAATTAACTTTTAAACCTACAAAGTGTGTTCTTAAGTTAGAAATTAAATATATAAAACTAGTTATTCTTCTCTGCTTAAAAGAGTTAAGCTTCCTTTTAATTTCAAAATAATAATTATTTTTTGTTTTCCTCTCTCTATACTCCACTCTCTGTCCGTTTCTTCTCTTTTCCAACGATAGGTCTTCCAAAAACCACTCTTGAGCCACGAAACAGCGTGTGAGGCACAGAGTAAAAGAGAGGCCCAAACAAACAAGCTCACACACACACACCCAGCGCTCGGGTGGCTATGAAAATGATCGGCAGCGACTACGTACTGGAAGCCCACAACATTTTCCACACCACCGAGGCAAGTGCCGGAAAAACTCTCTTTCCTCTCTCAAAGAACCACCTTCCAGTGCCCAGCTCTGAGCTCTTTCTTGATCGTTCCAACAGGTTGACGGTGGTGGCTGTTTCAATGGAGCCGGCAACTCGGCTCTGGTGCTCAAAGGCGTCAATCTCACCGTGCACAGTGGTGAGGTGATGGCCATTCTGGGATCAAAGGGTTAGTATTCAAGGTATTCAAAGAGTTTGGTTACTATGTTTTGTTAACTTTTCAAGGGAGCGGCAAGCGGGCTCTTTTGGATGTGATCTCGAGACGCGCGGATGGAGCCACTCGTGGCCAGGTGCTGCTCAATGGTTCGCCACTGTCCAAGGCCTTGTTCCAGCAACGTTGCGGCTACGTGACCCAGTCCTGCACCTTCGTTCCAGGCCTCACAGTGGCCCAGACACTTCACTACACGCCCACCATAGTGAGTAATTTAAATAATGCCTAGAAGTATGCTACAGATTAGGCATACTCATAAGCAGATGCTACATTGATTTAAAACCCATATATAAGTATGTGGTATCATAATTTAAGACACCTTTTAAAGGATTTTAAGGCCCCTATTAATCTCTGAAACAACCTTAATACTAAGAAACTATGTATTCTTTGCATCCTCTTTCCAGTTGAGTGGTTACCTTAAGAGTTCCAAGGTTCGCCAAGTTCTAGCAGATCTGGCCCTGTCCCAAGTGGCCCATAAGCGAGTGGAGTATCTGAACATCAGTGAGGCAAGACGTCTGGCCATCGGCATTCAGTTGGTCAGGGATCCAGGTAATAATATAATAATCCTTCACCGAAAACTATTAAACTAATATTTTCATGTAGTAATGCTCCTGCTGGATGAGCCCACCCATGGACTAGATCCTCTGAGCGCCTATCTCCTTATATCCATTCTCTCCAACACCGCCAAGAAGACCGGCTGTGGAATTCTACTTTCTCTAGAGAAACCGCGCTCCGATGTATTTCCCTTCTTGGATCGCGCTCTGTTCCTCTGCCTGGGCGGTGTGGTTTACTCCGGAGGCACTCGAGCCATGCTGGAGTATTTCCATGGGATTGGATTCCCCTGTCCTCAGCTGGAGAACCCACTGATGTACTACCTATGTCTGTCCACCGTGGACCGTCGGAGTCGGGATCGGTTCTTGGAATCTAGCCAGCAAATCGAAGCTCTGGTGGAACGATTCTCCCGAGAGACTCCCATCTCGGATGCCCCCATCAATAATATGGGATCAGGAAAGGTACCACTGGCATACGGAAAGCCGGGAGAGCTCAAAGTTTGGGTTATGCTGTACTTGTAAGTGTTCCTTATTCTGTTCCTAACTTTATATTTTCCAAGAGTTTCAAATTTAAAAAAATAGTATTTGCTTTGTATTTAGAAAACTATTGGCCTCCACCTTCTCCTGCGGTCTGGTGGGAATGAAAACTTTATTCCTGCGAATGCTGCTTCTGCCCTTGGCCATGAGCATCCTCTGGGCCTTTTACACAAATGTGGGCGTAAGTAAGTCAATAAATTCAATGGAATTTTTAAATTTAAAATGAGATATTTTTCTAGGATGATGCACATGGTTTCTTTACCAGAAACGGCATGATTCTGAATATTTTGGGACTCTCCTATGGATGCGGAATATTAACCACCATATCTCTATGTGAGTAATTAAGTTTTTCTTCAAAGTTCTCTTTTAATTTCTTCCATTCTGCAGTTCCAATTTGGCGCAAGAAGTTTTCGCAGGACACTCCAGAGGGTCTATACTCGGGAACGACTCTACTTATTGCCTACAACTCCGTTTCCATACCTTTCTCTGCGGTATCTGCCGTAATAGCCAGCTGTGTTATTTATCCGTAAGTTACCCAGCAATAGGGAAAAAGTTGATCAAAATCAAGAGTGTGTTTCTTCCAGTCTTCTGTTGGATGTCAAATACAATAATGGCACAGTTTTCGCATATTTGTTGGTGGCTCTCTGGTCAAGTTTCGTCCTTGCAGAACAGCTAACGATTGCCTTCCTCTTGGTGGTGAAGGTGCCCTTCAATGCAGCCATAGCAGTGACCTATGTGCTGGTCATCAGCATTGCTCTGGCCAGCGGTACAGTTCGGTAAGTATATTGTATAAATATATAATTTTCCACGTTTGATAACGGAGTTTTCCCCGCATTAGCTCCTTTAAGGGATTGCAACCCTGGCTGCAGGACAACACCAAGGGCACCCACACCCGATACGCCTCCTCCCTGCTGCACAGCATCGCCTTTCAGTCGCGGAAACTCAATTGCACACCAACCGCCTCCGTCATCTGCCCAAAGCCGGCAGACTTTATGCACGAACGACTGGGACTGCCTGATCCCGATGTAAGCTATAGCTCCATATCTGGGTATATATATTATAACCATGTAGTTTGATATTCAGGAAACCATCGATGTGGCTGCCTCTTGTGCTTTTGCTGTGGGCCTGGCTGCCTTCAACATGCTGCTCTACTTGTTCCCAATGCCGCGATGCGTGCGCCAGAAGTTCAAGGACTAATGATCGTCAATTTTACATTGCAATACTTGCACTAAGTTTTATTTTATTTAAATGTAATTATAATTTAATAAAAACACTCGAAATGTGACCTTAAGTCATGCTTGAAATTTTCATTGACATTAATTAGAAGAAACTCTCTACTTGGTCCTGATAACTATATAATATTTATGTGCAATCGCTCTGTTGGATAGTTTCCTATCTGAAGTAACTGCTTACAAGGATATCTAGGGTATACAGAATTCGATATACCCTCGTGAAATAAAACATTAAGAAAATTGGTTTAATAATTCTTATTATTTTATATTCTACTAAATTATATATGTTTAAATCGTCAAGTAAAAGCATCAAGAAAAGCTGGTATTATTATTTTTTTTCTTATTTGCAATTCAACCTTGACGTGCAAAAACACTCTGGTATACTAAATTTAGTTGGAAGTTTAGTCTATGGAATTCTTTCTGAAACGAAGCAGCGTACATTTCAGGTACCTGAATCTTGCACTTTCCACCTTGCTGAACTGGAAATCATCCAAAAGGCCATCCCTGTTCAACAAAGTTTTCTGTCCTGAATTCGTTCACCGCATGCAGAAAAATCCGACAAAGAACTTATTTTGCTTAGAATTTCCTTTAAGAATTATGCCCATAACTAGTCATTTTTACGAATTACATTGATTTTATTTACAAGAAGACTTAAGACTATTACAATTTCGTAGTGAATTCATTGAACATTAGACAACAAGTACACAAATAATTCAATGCAATAATTGCCCATTACAATCCGCGGCCAGTTCTCGATACGTTTCGCCTTTCGCTGCCAAATTCGCTTCAATTCAACAATTGTCTAACGACTAAACATATAATCCTTTTATTTAAATAACTAGATACACGCATGGAAATTCATTAGAACGCATCTGAAACTGATTGAATGAATGTGCGCGAGTGTCGGGGGTTAAGTTAAGCGGGGCTCGTGGGTAGATATGTTATGTTACATATGCATGTAATGTGTGTGTGCATCAGATGATGGGCGTGGCTGGGGTCCGTCTTTAAAATACTGTGGCACCTATGTATGTAGCTGCTGCTAGGGGAAATGGTCTGGAACGGATGGATGGTGGGGCGGGCGGTGTGTGTACTGCAAAGTGATTGGTTAGTTGGTGGCCCAGTGGCTAGTCCGTATCGTAGTAGGCATAATCGTAGCTGGTGTCCTCGTCCGCATGCGGTGGCCTCTTCCCGGCCGGCTTCTCCTTCTCCTTCTTCTCCTTCTCCAGCTGGTGCTGCTCCTTTTTGCTCTTGGCCGACTTCTTCGACTCGACGGGTGCTCCTGTCGTGGTAGTGCTGGTGGTAGTGGTCCTAGTCGTGGTCGGTCGCCGGGTCGTTGTGGTGGTGGTGGTGGAGGTGCTGGAAGTGCTAGTGGAGCTGCTGGCCTGCGGACTAGATGACGCCAGCTGCGGACTATACTGCGAGTTGTACTGCTGCGAGGTCTTCTCCGCCTTGTAGATGTCCGCCCGCAGCTTGTTGATGCTGGCCGCCCCGAAGTTCAGTGACTGAGCGGTCTTGAAGAGCTCCTCCTCGTCACTCAGGTCCGAATCCCGTTCCCGTTCCCGTTCACGTTCACGCTCGCGTTCCTTCTGGTAGGCGGACTGCTGCTGGCTCTTCAGGTGGCTGTGCGCCTGCTGGAAGCCATGTGGCTGCCGGCTGGATACCACCGGGGCTGCACTGGTGGTTGAGGTGGATGAGCTGCCGCCTCGGTTGCGCAGAAACTTGAAGCGGTTGCGGGGAAAGTCGTTCTCGTACAACTCCGGATGATACTGGCCATCGTCCTCGTCCACATTGTAATAGGGATTGGCCGTGGTGGGCAGGGCTGGCGTCACCGCCGATGTCAGCTTCTTGATGGCCGCCGAAGTGGGGCGATGGGTCAGCTGTGTGTGAGCCTGTGACTGATAGCTCTGCTCGTAGGGCTTCTTGTACGTGGTCGGCCGGAAGGTGGTGGGCGTGTAGGCCTCCTTGGCCCTGGATGCGGCTGTGGCAGAGGCACTGGTTGTGGGATAGTGCACCTCATCGTCCGCATAACGCTCCGTGGTGGCCTTGTAGGTTATGCTGCCGCGGCTGGTGAACGAGCGCGGCTTCGAGCTAGGCGCCGCCGAGAAGGGAGCCGGCTCCTGGGCGCCCACTCTGGTCACCACCTGCGTCTGCTGGGGCTTGTGGCGCTGGTAATGGGGCTCCAGCTGATTGGGTTTCTTCTGCGCCAGCTGGAAGGGCTGCGGTTGCTGTAGCTTGGGACCCTTGGCCAGATCTCCGAATTCGTTCTGGTTGATGTAGTTGGACTCCTGGGGACCCAGCTTCTGCTTTCGCACCGCAGCTGCCGTGGGTTTGCTGCGTTTGTCGAAGTCCTGCACTCCCTTGCCAGTTACCTTGGTGGAACTGGAGCTGAAGGGAGGCGGCGTGGTCGTCTTGAGGCGATAGGCTCCACTGTTCGGGTTATAGGTGGTGGGTTGGATGCGCTCCTGGGTGGGGAAGTCATTGGAGCCGAAGCTGAAGCGACTGGTGATGCTACTGCTGGGACGTGGCGTGGTCACCACACTCTGGCCGGTGGTCTTGGCGTGCGGTGAGTTGTCCAGAAAGTCCGTGTTGAACGTGGCGTGCAGAGTGATCTTCTTTAGGGACTTGGTAGTTGCCGGAGGAGCAGATGTGCTGGCGGTGATGGAACTGCTCGGAGCGGCGGATACCCGCTGGCCTCGGGTGGGCGTGACCCGCGTGGTCTTGCGCTGGAAGTCGCTCAGGTCGTTGGGCTTGGGACGGGCGGGCTCCTCGTCGTATTCCCGGCCGCCGTGGCGGTTCGAGAAGAAGTGCGAGCTGTGGGAACCCTTGAAGATATCATCTGCGTCTTCTGCGGAATGGGATGGGAGCGTTATTAATTCGGGCTATGCATCGCGAGGGGCCATTGTCTCTTACGCTTTGAGTCGTCATTGTTGTTGCTATAATTGTTGCTGTAGTTGTTATTGTAATTGTTGTTGTTGTAATAGCTACGCTCCGTCGTGGTCGATGTGGTCGTCGTAGTCGTTGTGGAAGCGGGGGAGCTGCTGCCCAATATGGTCGGCGTGTAATAGGTGGAAATGGGTCGCTTGGTGGGTTGCGTGATCTCCAAATTGGGACTGGAGCTGGAGCTGGAACCGCCACCTGTCTGGGAGTAATTGTGGCGAGGGCGTGACTTGTGTTCCGTACCACGATGGGAGTTGGGGCTGGCATTGTGGTTCTCCTTAGAGCGCCGCACATCGCCTGCAATTAAAGATAACCCTGGTTCAAAATCACCACAGATCACGACTCTCGTTTCCCGTTTAATAAAGATCACTTGATTTTCAGATAAACAACTTAAAATATACCTGGGATCTCGCAGAGTGTGTATACTCACCACTTTCGGCTCTTTGAAGGTGGAAGGTGGCCTCCTCCTCGTGGGCGGCCTTGTTGTCATCTCCACCGCGATACAAATCATTCAGGTGACCGTTGTCATACAGGGAGGTGGCCTTGTCACAGTCCACGTCCAACCAGTTGGCACAGATCTGCAGCTCCTGGTCAAAAGCCGTCGTATTGGGGCAGAGGAAGCGGTAGTCCTGCACCTGTTGGACAAACGGATTAACTCTTCGGTGTAGGAGCTGCGCGAAAACAGCGAAAGCATCGAAAGCACCAAAAAACAGCACCATTAGGTAGGCAGAGCAACATGCAAAATTCAATGTTATAAGTGGGTTCGATTAAGCCGAAAGCATTAGGGCCAAGACTCGAAGGCAGCAGCAGTAGCCACAAATCTGGTAATTGAAACTGGTTGACTCTAAACTGGGCCAAGCTGTGACTCAGGCTACAGACTAGGCCATCAAGAAACGACTAATGACGTATTTGTATTCTAGTTGATATATTAATATAACTATATTATGTAAATACTTAGTATATAATTAAGTTAGATGTAATATTATGCTTATAGTGTGATATGTCTTAATTGCTTTTATGATGTCTATTTCATTTTAGAAAAAACTAAAAAGATTTCCTGTTATGGCAGTCAAGGCAGCCTCAGATGCAGATACAGCTGCACATATCCAATCAGTGGGTTCCTTGCGAGGTCGGCTGGTGGCTTTAATGCCAGCATTCGCTGGCGATGCCTGCCGCAAACTTTGGCATTTCCACATGGCACTTGGCACTTGGCATTTGCGCAGACCCGCCGGGAAGCTTCTCCATTCAGTGAATGTTCTCTCGATCCGAACGTTCTCGATGTGCCATTGTACACAGTAGGCCAAATGACAGTCGAGACACATTCAGACACTCGAACCAAAAACACGAGACACGAAATCCGTTCTTTTTATTTTTACCTAATTATTTGTATTATAAACAAAATGCACCATTCCAGCCATGTGAGGATCTATCTGTTCCGCAAGCTCTCTGTTCCACCCACCGACCAGCAGCGGGAGGTGTATGAGGAGGCGGTCGCCGAGGTGCTGGGCCAGGTCCTTGGCGGACACTCGAGCATGGTGTTTTGCTGCGGCCACGGCAAGGCTGACGGTGATCCGGAGGACATTGTAACCCGCATCTGCGGGGAACTCTTCTCCGGCAACCAGGCGTCGGATCAGACAGAAGTATCGGTGCGACATGTGAAGCTAAGCGGCGGCACGGATGACCTAACAATGAACCTGACCAGCTCTGCTTATCGGACCCCGCTGGATCAGTTTGTGGCCACTCCTCGGGAGCTACAGGCCTATTTCCAGACAGTTAAGGAGAACATGGGACTGGAGGACGAGTGTCGCCAACTTATGTTCAACGTTCTTGTAGGCCAGAAATCGAGTGCCGACTGCGGCGAGTTGCAGCTCATACACCTCATGGAAACGGGTGAATATCCACAGTCTGCAGACGCGGAGTCCGGCTCTGAGTTCGAGTCCGAGTCCCAGTCCGAGTCGGAGACCGCGTCCCACTCTGGAACCAGAACCGAAACTGAAACTCCCCTGGAAACGTTGCGGAAACTACTGCAGGCCCTGGCCCACAACACAAAGACACATCTTAGGTACCACAACGTACGGCTGACCGGACTCCTAAAGCAGCTGCTGGGCAACTGCGGGAGAACTGTGCTGGTAAATTTCACGAGCGAGCCGAAGAGTTTGAAACGCGTCGTGGCCATTTCGTCGGGGATTTACCGCGACGAGCTGACCGCCACGGTGTGGCAGGCAATGTACAGGCACGAGCGCCAGAAATACTGTTGCCTGAGGGAGAAGGTCCTCAGCCAGGGGTCCGAGAAGCCAAAGGAAATGGAGGAATTCCTGGAGTACTTGGAGGAAGGCCGGCCTTCGGAGGAGGATTGCGAAAACGCGGAACAGGAGCAGGAGCAGGATCTAATGCAACAGAAAATGATTGAGATTCGGGACGAGGCGGAGCACACCATTGCTCAGCTGGCGGAACTTAGGTCAGACATGGAACGCGTGGTGGAGCAGAGCTATCGCCAGGAGCAGCAGCTCGAGCAGAAGAACCGCCAGTTGGCCAGGCTGAGTAAGCTGCTCACGAGTGCCCGCGAGGAGCTGAGGGCTCAAAGGTTGCAATTTAAGCAAAAACTAGCCGAGGACCTGGGAAAACTCAGCAGCATGTGTCGCCTCCAGAGCAAAATGCAAATGCAAGTTCATCGCCGCCATTTGTCCGAGGTATTTGACTTAATCCTACAGGGGAAACAGCAGGGGGAAGCTACCCGGATAAGTATGGAGGACGAAGAGACAGATGATGAGCCGCCTGAGAAGCCTAGGACAAGTAGCAACGTCTAGCCCTCGGCTTTCAGCGCAGCGCCTACGAAGACCCCCTCTTAAAGGTCAGCCGATCGTCTTCGGAAAGAGCCATCCGGCCATCCAGGCCAGTCACGAAGCATTCGGAGCAATCACACATTCCCCAGTGCATCTGGCTATGCCCCTTTGCCATTTAGCTGGAGCTTTGACACAGAGATACAGACGGAGACTGCCAGCCAGTCTGCCATCCAGTTTGTTTCCCTTGTGTATCGTTTTTGCGGCCAAAGCTTCGGGAGCTATGCCTGGGATGTACCATGTACAGAGCCACTAGATGCTATTCATTCCAAAATTTCAAGCTTTCTGGACCTATTGGCAAGTATAGTACTATCCAGATGTAAAAGTATAGTACTAGCTATTTGCAAACAGGTCAAGATGGAACTAAAACTCCACGTTTCAGAGGAGTTCAAGGTCATATGTTTCATGTTTTATGGGGCAAAGAAGAACGTGATTCTTTCGATATATATTGTATATGACTTATTTATAGTCCCTACAAAGTTCCGAATGCTGTTCGCCTGCCAAGAAAAAAAAATGGGTTTTAAGCTTTCCAAATTAAGTGTTTCCAAAATCGTATGACAATTGTCAAAATTCCCATCTATAAACTTTCGAGGCTCAGAATAAACTTAATGAATATATTTCGCTAAATCCAACAAGTCTATAAATTCTGGGATAGTAAGAACATTCCTAACTATTGTGGCTAGCTATGCTACCTTGGATCTTAGCCTGGATCACTTGCACCTGGGCAATGGGAACACTCACCCCCACTCCGGGCAGCTTGACGCATACGTGGAACATCTGGCACTGGGTCTCCGGATCGGCATAGTAGCCGCCTAGGATCTTGTCGTGGCAGGTGAACTGCGTCTTGGGCATATTCTGCAGGCTGTACGTGGGCCAGGGTCTGCCGAAGGCCAGGTCATCATCCTCGTCGAGCAGCTGCGCCTGCGCGAATCCGGAGCAAAGTGTCGTTGCTGCAAGAGTAAAACAAGAAACAGAAGCAGAAATCGTGATCTGGTTAGGACTGGTCTCGAGTCTTGAGTGCTAGAATGGCTCCTCGATCGGAGAGGAGATGTGTATTAGTTGAGTGTTAGTAACTGGTGCTGGTGCTGATGCTGGTGCTGACCTGGTCAAGTGACCTTCGGGCCGCATCACTTTCGCTTACAACTGCGACGCGACGCGAGACGAGCTTGTGATTTATGTGTGCCGGAGCACTTGCCGTGCTCCAAGGCTGCTGATGCTGCGGACCCAGAGCCTCTAAACGCGCCGTTCTGCGAGTGCTCGAGACGACTTTTATTTACTTTTTTGGAGCATCGATTGGTATTTGTGATACCGAGAGACATCATTAACATTTCGGCGCATTCCCACAGCGATGCTGTGGTCAGAAACATGAGGGTCGCTCAATTAAAATGCCAAGTCAATCAATATTATGGATTACGATTGTCGTACCTGTGTTGGGCATTAAAAGCTAATTACCCCAAGGCATCACATGTATCACTGTAGTCTCGGGTGTCTGATTACTCTTTGGGTTGCCTATTTTTTACCCATTACTCATTTGGTGGCGCAGCTTCTGTTCTTGGCATCAGACAGCGGAAGAGGGGGTCGTTGCAATTCAGGCAGCGGTAATTGCACTTGCAACTCACAACTGCAACACCAAAATGAAGAACTCCGGCTCCAGCTGCGGCTCCTCTTCTCCGGCTGCAAATTGCCCTCGCCGGTTGCATAATCTGCAGCCGATTCGGCTGTTAAAGGAAACCCCAAATGCAAAACAAAGAGAAAACCAGACATCCAGCACACAGTTCGAAATTCGAATAAAAGAAAGAAAGATGCCGTGGCAGCCCTCGACTGTGATTCGCATTTAATTCACGTGAATTTCAAATTCAACTTTCCTCCCCTGCCAGCCAGAGCCATTGTCTGGCAGTGAACTATGACTGGGCAGCAGCTGGGATGGATCCCCATCCCCGGGAAGCTCTTTTGTCCGACGCTGATGGTTCGATTCCGATACCAATTGCTGGTCGCTGGAGTGAATCTCCAAATTGGTCAGAGTGCGGAGCTCTCACGCAGTTTGGATGCGGGGCGAAGGGCGAGTCCCCTTGAGCCACCGTTTTGGGGCGTTGTCCCACTTCACTCTCACTTGCGGATAATTTACAGTATGGTAATTATGGCTGATGACCCACTCTAAGCCCTAATTGCCATTTCTCAGCCTTGTCTTCATTCGGTTTTTGGCCTGCGCTTCAACAAATTACGCTGCGATCCCAAATGTAATCGATATGAATCATTGGCTCATTGAATCCCATTAATTTCCTTCGCCAGCAATGGACCTTGGGCCAGTACATCTCCTCTATGTGGAAGCATTTGTTGTAAAAACAAAAACTAATGAGCTTGCGATTTTTTATTTCTGCTGATACGGGATCTTGGCATCTTTTTTTTGTAAAAAGCAACAATATGCGATTGTTAGCAGAAGGCTGATCGCCAATAAATCAGACCTGAAGAAGCTAAAGCTTAATTCGAGCTGATGTAAAAACGATTGGAAAGTTTGTCGATAATCGATAGGTAATATTGATGTTTTTGCCCGATTTTGAAGAAAATGAGTATTTTTCTGCTCATACATTATAAAATGACGTTTATTTAGTCCTAACATATTTTATCATTTATCATAAAAATAATTAAATGCAAAGAATTACGCATAGTAACGAAAATAAATATATTGAAGGATGTAAATCACATAGGCTACTATTTCAAGCAATTCATTTTCCAACTATTAAAGGACACAGTCCTGCCAAAAACTTAAATTTGAGTTAGGAAATACGAATGCGAATATTTTCATAATTCTTCCTTCTAGTTTTTATAAATTCCTCGCCTGCATTTGCTATATATTTAAATCATAAAATTGTAATACAAATAGTATCCTTTTTCTTTATCCTTCCCCTCAAAAATTCCTTTGCCTGCACATGTTATTTAATTGCTCTTTAGAATTTCAGTCTTTATACTCACCCAGTAACAAGGCAATCATTGCATAATCTAGGCTCCACATGTCGTATTAGTTTTTATAATCCAAATTCAGGACGATATCCAATATGTAATCCAGAGCAATTAAGCTGATAGTTAATGTCGATTTTCACATGAATCGCACTGCAAGACAAGAAGGGGGCGCACAACACCAGAGATCTTATGAGTATTGGAAGGGATTTCGGTTGCAAAACCCTCCCCAGCTGCACAAGATGTTTGTTTCTTCGTTACTTTTTGATTTTTCGCTATTTTTTTGTTGTTTTTGATTTTTTTGTTGTTTTTTTTTGTTCACTAACTAACTCAGCACGAAAAGCATCGCCAGCGAGCGGATCATTTCCATGGCAAATGTGCCAAAAAAGTTGTCCGTCATGTAGGAAATGAGCAGTCGCCAGGTAGATTCTTCAAACTTCGATCGTGTATGTAAATGCGTACGAAATGTGTTTCGCAAGGTGCGAAAACTACGGAAAACCCATTTAGAAGGTGCAGCGAAACGTTGAGAGACGTCTGCGGCTGCCTCACTTGGCTGGGCAAACAGCGGAAAAGCACAGAGTCGGAGAAGAACGAACCACTACCACCGCTGACACTCTAACCAAACAACCACTAACCGCGCGGAGGAGACAGGCGAACCAGGCGAATGGAGCGGGCAGAGCGAGGCGCTGCGATGCGCGATCTGTGACTTTATCGTCCACGTTGTCGAAGCGAAATGATTTCTGAAAGCGAAAGGAAACCACTTGGAGCCCATCGCGCAGCTTGGCTGCCAAGGCAGCAGCCGCCATCACGAACAGTGTGCCTACGTTAATGCGAACGGAAATTGGGAAGCTTTTCTAGACTCTTCTAGAACTCTGTAGAAGGATATTGATTACATAAATTGCATTCTTTTAAATAATTTTTTAATTGAGTTGATTGTGACAAAATAACATGACGGGGAAAAAATCAGGTTAATAAATGTATAGCTAAAGAAAACTGTTGAAAAAAGTCGCAGTACGTACTTTTTAGCTTAAAATTAAATTAAAATATTAAAAAAACTTTATATGCATTTGATTTTCAAAGTGGAAGCAATTGAATTTAAACTCTTACAACCGCAAATTCAATTACAATTACTTCCAATGTTTCTAATTGAAAATTATATACATACATATGTCATAGAAAAAAAAGATATCATTATTATGCATTAAGCTTTGATACAAGTTCTAAATTATAAATTCCATTTGCTTTGCCTTGGCTTTTGTTTATATCATGTAAATCATAAATAATTATATTTCGTTTAAATTTCAACACAGTGACCACTGTGCAGCGTCGTCTTAAGCAGAGCAGCGGCATTCCAGCTTCGTCTGCCATCGTCTTGTTCGTGCTCGTCTCTTGTTCGGATATACGCTTGTATGTATGTGTGTGTGCTCGGTGGGTTCTGCCGCTCGCTGTCGTATGCTTAACGCAAATTACGCATACGCAGCGTGTGACCATATGACACTTACCCAGTTGCATTGTTCGCTGCACCGCTGCACCGCCCGCCAGGAGGAGCTGCTACTCTCATCACTTACGTCAGCTGGCCGCAGGGCCAGCTCATGATTATGGGCAAGCGCACTCCCCCGCCCGGCCAACGAACCTCACATCAATTACACCCGCTGCAAGTACACTGAGCGACACATTCAGTGCAAGGGATTTAGGAAAACCCTTTTTAGATTAAAGCATACTTACAAAATAAACCATATTTTTGCAACTTTCTTGCATATATTCATTTCAAAATTAGTTTAACGTTATTATAGTTTTAATTCTACATCTTTGTTTTCATCTCCTTAATCCCTTTAAATGAAATTCTTTCTCAATTTGTAATATTTTATATTAATAGAAGAGAAAATATTAGTTCGATTAGGTTTCCATGTATGAACATGGTGTCGGTGACTTTGTCCTTTGACTCTGTTGTATTAAATGTAAACACATTTTGTTAATACTTTATATTCATGGCTTTTAAATTTAATTAATTTATTAGTTGAAAATCATCATAACAGTATTCAGTTATTTTCTCACTTCTAGGTCTTCATTTGATGACAGTGCATACGTGGCAAGCTGGTTGCATCTTCCGCTGGGTATTATGTCATAGCCATGGCGGGGCTTTGTCATTTGCTGCCCCATCTGCCGCTGTTGCTGCTGCTGCGGCTGAGGCTGAGGCTGCCGCTGGATTGTCGGGGCAAAAGTCGCGGTGCCACCGACAATCCGGTTATGTGTATTTGGGTGAGTGTGGCACGGAGCTAGGAGCTGGGAGCTGGGAGCTGGGAGCTGGGAGCGGGGAATGCACGGTATTTTGCTGCAGTGTGGGAATTTACACGCCTGCTACTCGGCCAAATCTGTTTTTGGCGCATTTTGGGCGTTGCTCTCTAGATTTTTCTATATTTACAAGCCCTGGAAAAATGTTGACTGCAACCTCAAGCTGTCATCTGGAAGTGAAACCAAAGCTGAGGCTGAGGCTGAGGCTGAGACTTAGGCTGAAGCTGAAGCTCTCTGGCGGGTTGGCATTTCAAAGTTGAGGTTGCCTGCCGGAAAAAGGCCAGGCAGCCAAAGTCATGCAAAGCAGCTGCCCCGGCTGACTGGCGGAGGTACAAAAAAATGTCAACTGCGACGGGGAAATCGAGGCGGAAAGACGGAGG